TGCACAGATAAATATCCACGTCTTGCTACTGAGACCTGATTTGGTGAACAGACCGGGGATTGGTGGTGTCTATCCAGGGAGAGGTAACTCCTCCATCAGTACTTTCGCTGAAGCGCAGTAGGAAGTCCCTCTCTGCTTCATCTTCAGGAAGATTTCTTCTCTTTGGCCTTAGATCACAAAAACCATGATCAGACTGAAACACAGAGGAACTAAACCCAACAATCGACTGAAAAAACACAGAGGAGACAAACCCACATCAGACCTGAAAACAGAGGAACAATAACCCACAATCAGACTGAAAACACAAGAGGAACCAAAGCCATGAGCATGACTGAAACACAGAGGAACAAAACCACAATCAGATGAACACACAGAGGAACCAAACCATGATCAGACTGAAACACAGAGGAACCAATACCATGATCTGACTGACTGAAAACACAGAGGAAACAAACCTCATGATCAGACTGAAACACTGGAGGAACAAACCATGATCAGACTGAAACACAGATGGAACCAAACCCTATGTATCAGACTGAATACACAGTGGAACAAAACCCATGATCAGCTGAAACACAGAGGACCAAACCCAATGATCGATGAATCACAGAGGTACCAATCCCATGATCGACTGAAACACAGAGGAACCAAACCCTTGATCAGACTGAAAACACAGAGGAACCAAACCATGATCAGTCTGAAACACAGAGGATCCAACCCATGATCAGACTGAAACCACAGAGAACATAACCCATGATCAGACTTGAAACCACGAGGAACCAAAACCCATGATCAGACTGAAACCAAAGAGGGGAACCCAAACCCTTGATCAGACTGAAAACACAGAGGAACAAAAACCCTATGATCCAGACTGAAAACACAGAGGAACCAAACCCATGATCAGACTGCAACACAGAGGAACAAAACCCATGCTCAGACTGAAACACAGAGGGACAAAAGTTTGTCTCAAAAGGATGGTATTCATACACAGACTCGGAAGAAGCAAAATCATAGTATGTGATTCAGGGGCTCTGGATATGATTCTGACTCGGGCGCAGTCTCAGAGACCACTTAGTGATCCAGGGCTCTAAATCAATTTGAGCACTGGGAAAAAAACCAATTTATAGCAATGAGTAGAGGAATTGGGTTCATACGAGCTTTTTCTATAATGTAAACAATATTGTATATGTTCTATATCTTTTTATCTGTATGTCTTTTTCATCACTGGACCAACAATTATCTTTTTTAATTAGGATTATGCGCCATGATGGTCATGGTTAACTCAGCGATTAATCGCAACTTTTTTATTCTTATTCTTTATGCTCCGTCGAATCTTCATTTTAATCATCTTAATTAACTTGTCACAATTGTTTTGTTGTTTTTTTAAGTGTTAGATTTCACACTCACTCTTAATGCAAAATGTCATCCTATTCAATGCTGTCATAATCACTGAACGTTTTTAACGTCTTTAACCATTGAAGCAGGAAAGCATTCCTCATTCTACTCAGTGCTGGGAGCGCTGTTGTTTGTTGCTTTTCTACCTTGGAGGCCCGGAAAGCGGGACATGTCTGATTTTTCTTTTTTGGTCCAATATCTCTTTTGGTTGAAATTCTTTGACCAATAAAGCTTCAGGGTAAAACCGGTGATTGAATTTTCTGGTGGAACCCGCGAATTCCAACTTTTTCTTGATAAGTCCATTTTCTGTGTAATGTGGCGTGTAGGTTTTTTCTTTATTGGGTGTGAGGCCGCGGGATGTTTGCGGTTTACATTAAATCGACCGGGATTCAAGTCCTCCGTTCTGACCTCGGGAGAAACTGTGTCCGCTTTGACACAGCTTCTGCGATAACGCGCGCCTTAACATTAAAAATATATAAAAAATTAATACGGGGGGGGTCATGTACCGATTGCGGACAGAACCATCCCTGGCTTGTTGCATGTGCGGGTATTGTTTGTCTTCCCCGTCTCTCCCGGTGTCTTCCCAAGGACAACCAAAACTCACAGAATTAAGCTCAGGTACCGACATTTTTGTTTGCATTGGACAATGCATGGCACAAAAGTGAAATGTTGTGACAAATCCAACAGAACAAACCACAACAGTTGTGTTTTTTAAAATTTTGCTTACTTGAAATACAAAATGTGAAACAAAAAAAGAGTCTGGTGAGTAATTATTTGACTTTTAGGGTGAGAGTGGGACTTTTTAAATTATTTTTTTCCACATAGTTTTTGACTTATTGTATGAGAAAACATGTTGTTGTTCTCACATTGTTTTGGGTTATTTTATTATTCTGTCCTTTGTAGAAGTTGTTTATTTTTGTTTTATTCTCTGAAGGTTTAATAATACGATGCATTCTTATTTAATAGCCAACAAATGTCAGCTCTCAAATTCTTTTGAATTATGTTCTATGTTTCGAGATAATCATTCTGTAGACATTGAATTTCAGGATAAAACTTCAGGTTTTGGAGGGTGGGTTCTCAAGTCGGCCGTTCAGGTTTTACGGTTGTTTTACCAGGGGTGTCGGGCCTTTATGCGATAATTGGTAAAAATTCCCTTCTTACTGCCCTTTTAGGGAATCATAACAGGGTGATACAAAAAAATGAAAAAGCAAAGTGCCGGACAGTTGGTTCTTAGTTTCGCTATCATCTTGTTTGGCAATGAGGCGTGGCGGAGGAGGAGAGTTGGCATCAGCGTTGGGTGTGTTTGGCCATCAAGTGGTAAGTCAAGTGATGTGTACGGCGATAAACTGGTTCAACACAGCATACACACAGTTAACTTATTCTTGTCAATCTAGCAAACTTTTTGCTACTAGGCTTTCCTTCTGAAGCTAGTCCTTTCGGCATTTCACGCTAAGACAACAGTCTCTTTTCACCAGTATTGGTATTAACGTCTAATAAAGGTAACTACAACTGAGTTGGGCTCACTAATATCAATAGTGTGATTTTTTAAAATTACAGGTTCTATTGATTTGCGTAAACGCTCCTTATATCTTTACATTGTATATAGTCATATTGTGTTGTCCCCCCGCCCACAATCCGCTTCGATAGTGTTTGGTTTGTGTTTTGCTTGTTAGCTGTTACTGCTTCGGTCGCTGTTGAAAGAAAGTTTGTCTAGCAACTGGTTTCAAAAAGTTGCCATAACTGAAGTTATGTCGATGAACTAAAGTTATCTGAGTGTTGATTGGGGGGTTGTGAGCTATGCGTTAGTTTATCACCGTAGCACATCCACTACACATGGCTGATGCAAACTCTCCTCCGCCACGCTCTTGTCAAGACTATGGATTGCGCAACTGAGAAACAAAGTGTTAGGCACTTTGTTACTTTATTGTCTATCACCCTGTTTTGATCTTAGAACGGGTAGTTGAGGGGATTTTTACCAATTATGCATAAAGGCCCGACACACTGAGTTAACATAACTGTAAAAACTACGGCCGACATGGAGAACCTCCTCCAAAACCTGAAGTTTTTCCTGAAATTCAATGTTCTACAGAATGGATTATCTCGAAACAGAATACATAATTCCAATAGAATTTGAGAGCTGACATTTGTGGCTATAAAATAAGTATGCAGCTATTATTATAAACCTTCAGTAGGAATAATACAAAAATAAACAACTTCTACAAAGGACAGATTAATAAAATAACCAAAACAATGTGGGAACAAACACATGTTTATCAATACAATAAGTCAAAAAAATAGTGGAAAAAAATATTTAAAAGCCTCTCTCAGCCTAAATGTCATTAATTTACTCACTGGACTCTTTTTAGTTTTTTGTTTTTTTCTAAGTAAGCAATTTTTAAAAAACACAACTGTTGTGGGTTTGTTCTGTTGGATTTGTTCACAACATTTCATTTTGTCTTGCATTGTCAATGCAAACAAAAATGTAGGTACCTGAGCTTTATTTCTGTGAGTTTTGGTTGTCTTTGGGAGGAGACACGGGGAGAGGGAAGACAAACAATACCCGCACATGCAACAGCTGGGGATGTTATGTCCGCAATCGGTCCATGACCCGATTTGGCTGCTGCGTTCGCTGAGCTGTGTCAAAGCGGCCACAGTTTCTCCGGGTCAGAATGTAGGACTTGAATCCCGTATTTCGAGTATGTACAGCAAATCCGCGTTCCACAACATTTCACAGAAATGCATTTTCACGAAAAAGTGGAATTCGCGGATCCACAGAAAATTTTCATCCCTGGTTTACCTGGATGCTTTTATTGGTCAAGAGAATTTACCATGAAGAGATTGGTCAAAAAAAGATAAAACAGACGAGTCGCTTTCCGGCCTCGAAGGTAGAATGCACAAACAGCGCTCCCAGACTGCTGAAGTAGAAATGAGGAATGCTTTCCTGGCTTCATTGTTAACGACGTTAACTTTGTGTTATGACGCCTTTGAATTGTTTGACATTTTGCATTCTGAGTGAGTGTGAAATCTAAACTCTAAAAAAAACAAAATACAATTTGTGACGTTTTAGAGATTAAAATGATGATTCAGACGGACAATAAAGAATAGATAAAAAAGTTGCGATTAATCGCGAGTTACCCATGCCCTTCATGGCATAATCCTAATTAAAAAAGATAATGTTGGTCAGTGATGATAAAGAATTCAGATAAAAAGATATAGACGCATATGATAATATTGTTACATTATAGAAAAAGTAGTTTGACCAATCCTCTACTCATTGTATAAATTGTTTTTTTTCCCTGTGCTCAAATGGATTTAGCCCTGGATCACTAATTGTGGTCTCTGAGTCTGCGCCGGTCTGAAATCTTAGCCAGAGCCTGAATACATACATATGATTTTGGCTTCTTCCAGTCTTGGGTATGAATACCTCCTTTGAGACAAAAACTTTTGTCCCTCTGAGTTTTCAGTCTGTTCCTTGGGTTAGTTCCTCTGTGTTTCTGGTTATCATGGGTTTGGGTCCTCTGTGTTTCAGTCTGATCATGGGTTTTGTTCCTCTGTGTTTCAGTCTGATCATGGGTTTGGTCGTCCTCTGTGTTTTCAGTCGGATCATGGTTTGGTTCCTCTGGTGTTTCAGTCTGATCATGGGTTTTGTTCTATCTGTGTTTCAGTCCTGATCATGGGTTTGGTTCCTCGTGTTTCAGTCTGATAGGGGTTTGGTTCCTCTGTGTTTCAGTCTGATCATGGGTTTGGTTCCTTCTGTGTTTCAGCTGATCATGGGTTTTGGTTCCTCTGTGTTTCAGTCTGATCATGGGGTGTGGTTCTCCTCTGTGTTTCAGTCTGATCATGGGTTTTGGTCCTCTGTGTTTCAGTTGCTCATGGTTTGGTTCCTCTGTGTTTCAGTTCTGATCATGGGTTTGGTTCCTCTGTGTTTCAGTCTGATCTTGGTTTGGTTCCTCTGTGTTTCCGTCTGATCATGGGTTTGGTTCTCTGTGTTTCAGTCTGATCAGGGTTTTGGTTCCTCTGTGTTTCTGTCTGTTTGTGGGTTTGTTCCTCTGTGTTTCGTCTGTTCATGGGTTTGGTGTTCATCTGTGTTTAGTCTGATTGTGGTGAGTTTTGTTCCTCTGTGTTTCAGTTGATTGTGGGTTTTTTTCCTATGTGTTTCAGTCTGATTGTGGGTTTTGTTCCTCGTGTTTCAGTACTGATCATGGATTTTGTGACAAAGGCAAAGAGAAGATCTTCTGAAGAGGAGCAGAGAGGGAAGTTCCTACTGCGCTTCAGCGGAAATGCTGAGGGAGGAGTTACCTTCTCCATGGACGAGGAACACACCATCCACCGTCTGGTTCACTCAGGTTCTCAGTAGCAAGACGTGGTTTTATTTATCTTGCAAAAAGGCCTGTGTCGGTATCACTTGTCTCAGGACTTGAGATTGTACAGATGATAAAAGGAAGAGAATTGAGTTACTTTACTAAAAGACAAACATTTGAAACTACTACAACTTATGCTATTATCACTACTTAACTGCTACTAATACTTATAGTACCTGATAGTCTGCCACAAAAAAAGCACACAGGCCGTGAAGGTGCAGAAGGTAGATGTAGTGAGTGAGGGACCACTTTATTTACTTTTTTAAAAGTTAAAGTGAATCATTTGTCAGTCGAATAAGTGCCTAAATACTTAAATGTAAAAGTCGTTTCTAAATATAAGGCAGTGGAAATAGTTTTAATTCTAGATGTACTTCTAGAACTATTGACTGCTATAAACCGCTTTGTGGCGCAGGTGATAGAGATTAATACGGTTCGAACCTTTCACAAAAGCGATCTGGATCAAATTCCTTTTCATGATATAATTGGAACTTCCAGCTGATGGAGCAGGACTACGTTCGGAGACATCCCGCTTTTCGCTTTACCAAACATTCCCAAAGAAGAGGCCTTCAGGATGTACTACAGTGTAAAGAGCGGGAGGTGTGATGATACGCATCAGGTTTAGGCTGTGTTCACAGCTAAAGTGGGCCTTAGGGGTGTGTGACTCGGCAATGGGCTTTCTGCTCTGTGCTGAACTGGTCTGCCTGGTGGCGAAGAGAAGGAAAGTATACTGTGTTAAATATAGTGTTTCTATTTCAGAACAATAAGTCCTTTCATCGATTTTACATCAGAAAAACTCATGTCGTCACCACGAGTAAGTTCCTCCACATGCAGAGAGACACCATGTGGATCCTGAGGCTCCTGATGAGGCTCCTGGGTCTCACGGGGGCTCCTGAGGGCTCACAAGGAGGCTTTGAGGAGGCACCTGAGGTTGTCTGGCTCAGAGTGTGTGTGTCAGTGTTTGTTTGTGTGTGTGGTGTGTGTGTGTGTGTGTGTGTTGTTTGTGTAGGAACTCTCATAGGCTTTCTGTGCTTTGTGCAGTGTCAGGTGTGTGGCTCCCTCTGCTGGTCACTTAGTACTACCGACAGGAGGGTCAAACACTGAGTGATAAATGTTGTCAACTGTATTAATGTGGTGTGTTCTTCATCATGTTAAAGTTTTACACAGGACTTCCAAGTCGCCATGAGCCGTCTTTTTGATTCTCTCCTCAATAACCTGGCAATTCAGGAAAAAATCCCAAAGAGTTTGTTTTCCACCATGATTTGTTAAAAGTGATCCACAAACTTTGTACCTATACTCACTTTTATTAAGTGATACTGATAGCAGTACAGGAACCAGTCAGGAACAGCACCTGTTGGTTGCCAAATGATCAAAACGGCTACATTAGTTTTACTTTAGGAATTAACTCTAGTTCTGCCTTTTTAATGCAGAATTACAACGTAAAAATATATTTCATAAAAATATGACAGAAAAATACAGCTAAAAAACAGGAAAGTCAAAAGGTATGAGGGCAAGAGTCTAATGAGGTGAGTCTCTACGGCTTAAAACTAAATCTCTGGGAGTCCTTGTGTTAAAATAACCATATAATTGGTAAGATCAATAGTTAAAAAACTTCAGTCTCATCTGTTACATTTATAGTGTTTGGGTTTGGCTCCCTTGCCCCCCCCTGACTTCAGATATGTTAGAATAAAAGTTATAGAAGGACCCTGAGTTTGAGCCTCTGTGGTTTGGATCTTTCTGCATGAACTGTCCCTTGTCTAGGACAAGAACAGAACTTCTTTACTGATCTTTTCAAATCTTTGATTTATAGGGTTCTGTCTTACACAGAAGATCACTTTCTTTCAATTATCTCAGTGTGCCCCAGTGGCAGCATTGGCTCAGTTAGTATTTTTGACCTTTGTGTTTGGAGTGACGCCTTTTTGAGAGAGTGGCTATGTAAAACCCCTGCATTATTATTATTATTATTTAGTTGTGTATATAAAGATCTCCGGTGGGGAGATTGCAGAGTTATTATATTAATGAAAAGTCAGGTACCCCAGTTTTAATAATCCAATATCACATGTCGGATCCTAGTGCATGGACACTCTCTTACTTTCTTAGATGTAAAGAGGCTTTTGTCCATTTTCAATAGTTTCTTACCAAAGGTGTTATTCCTGATGTTTATATAATTCTAAAACAAAATAGATTTTAGAAACAGCAGGAGTGCGGTGAGGTGTGATGGGAGGCACTCGACTTTAAAAGTCTGATTTACAATAATTATTCAATAAAATAGCATTTAATCACCCAATGCAATGACATTCCACAAACTTTAGTATATCGGTAAAGATAAGAGAACCAGCTTCTTTTAATAACTCACACAAAATCTAGCATGCTGACTCTGTCCCGCATCAAACAACATCTTTAAGAAGCGCAGGTGCGAGAGACTGCGAGGAGAGAGGAGCGAGCGAGAGAGAGGAAGCCAGAGACGTAGACAGAGAGGGAGCAGAGAGCAGAGAGACGGGTGAGCGAGGAGCAGAGAGTGACCGGGAGACGCTGATGAGAGAGAGACGGAGGACCGAGAGGAGCAGAGAGGACAGAGAGGAGCAGAGAGACGGAGACGCGAGGAGCAGTGAGTGACGGAGACGCGAGGAGAGCGAGACGCGAGGAGAGAGAGCAGAGAGAGACCGAGAGGAGCAGAGATACGTGCTCGAGGAGCAGAGGACGAGACGGAGACGCGAGGAGAGAGTGACGCGAGGAACATAAACTTAATTTAAAACAAGTTGCAGAAACTCTTGAGCAGTGTTTGAATCAGTGTTTACGGAAAGCACTTACTTTGCCGGTACTCGTCATTGTTCAACATAAAACACAGATAACAAACTCCTCCCGCAGCGGACGAACCTCGTAAGTACAGTGGTGTCTCCCAGTCTTTATTAATTCTTTCTTTGTTGAAGTCCAATTGAGAAAAAAAATCTTCATTCAAATCATCCATTTTTCCAGCAAAAGTAATAGCATTTTGGGGCTGATTGTTGTTTAGCAACTCTGGTATGAACTTTATGCTCACTATCACCCTTGCGGTGAGGCACAGATACGCCTGCCTCACGCAAGCTTTTCTTGTGTGTTCATCTACGTCAAAAGGACTTTTACTATATACTAATTGTACTACATACGTGCAATTACACTTACTAAACAATAAGAGGTTTAAAAAATGTTTTTAAAGCAGGATATTTGAAACATACGGTTGATATATCAACTGCACGAGCTGAGTGCACTCAGACACACACACACAACTCTGTGGGGAGCGGTCTGGGGTGAGGCACGCAGGAGCGCAGCCTCACCTCGTCTCTTTGTATTAGAATATCGGGATTTCGGCGATTTTGACTCAGGAAATGATCATAACTGATGGGAACGTGCGAATATACATTAAAGCATAGGACAGTGGAGTATAACTTATATATTTATAACTAATAATAATTATTAGTTTCCCAATAATGGCAGTGGGCTCTGTCCTCCCTGCTCCCTGAATGCAGTCCTGAGAAACATTACTTATCTTTTTAGGACTTTATCAAAGATGTCAATTCACCAACCACAAATTGGCGAATCAAAACAGTTCACAAACACAGAGAAATTAAAATTATAACAAACACATGGAGACAATTGCGTCCTGATGGATGAGACAATGCCCTTAGAGCCTTCTGCATAGACGAGCATCTCTTAAGGTCTGGTGGGTGAAAAGTGAGAACCTCCTAGGAGCACATTGAGGGACGGATCTGTACCGAAAGGGACGAAGGGTCTGTTGATACCAGGATTGAGGCTACAGAAATTTAGATTCTAAATTGGATTTGATTGATACTGTACTATTGAGATGGACACAGTTACGCTTCTAACACGTTTCTTGTATTGGTCTCTGATTGTGGATACTAGTTTGGGTGAAGTTTTGGTTTTCTTGATGTGATCTTATACTGAACTAACAATAACATATTCTGTGAGCTGCACACGTGGTCTGCCTCTGGTCCTCTCTCATCTTTCAGCTCTCTCTGGGTCATTCTGGGTCTTCTGCTGGTCTCATTCAATGGTTGTGTTATTAAACTGCACTGTTACATCTGTTCTTTCGAACATAACACCATTGATTTCGTCTGCTCTCACGTTGGAAGAAGTTCCTCTGGTCCTCTGCTGTCGGCCCCTGATGGTGCAGGTGTGTCTGTTTGAGGTCTTTCTGTTCCCTGCGTGGTGCAGGTGTAGACTGTGCTGAGGTAGTTTGCCGCCTTCGGTGGTGCAGATGCAGACTGTGCTGTGGTTCTTCTGTTCGCCTCCCTGGTGGTGCAGTGCAACGTGCGGAGGGTCCTCCAGTCCTCGGTCTTTGACTCGGTTCTGTTGAACTATGATCTGTGTCGTCCGACTTCTACCTCCCTGAGCTCTCACACTTCTGCTGTGTCCTCCCAGTAGTTTATACAGAGCTCCTTTTCTGATTTTTATTAATTTGTTCAAATTTGTATTTCTATTTATTTATGTCCCAGTTAAAGAAGCTATACCAGATTTATTTTCTAATGAGTCTAAAAATGCGTATTACGACATACTAGTTGTATTAAAATCGGTAATTTAATTGAAACGTGAGCTCCACGGATTCATCTTGTGTCATGATTTCCGGCCGTAAAAAGTGTGAGTA